CACGTTCACGTCGCCGCACGCGTTCGATCTCACCGGGTAGACGTTTCTTCCGGAGTGTTCCACCTGGCCGATCGGATGTCCCGTGGTAAATTCTGATTACAAATTACTCTGATTTTTATTTGGACGTGAACTGCTACGAATAACCCTACAACTCCATGGAAAAGCACGGCATGACATTAGAAAAAATGAAAGTACTGGGAAAGCAATTCACTCCTCTGGCATCTGAAGTTTATTAAAGGACTGGGAGTTCGGCCAACCAACACAGGTATCCTAAAGTACCATACTTGGGGTACTGCTTACTTCGACAGATAGGCAGGCAAGGCTTCTCCAATTCCTCGGCTTCACCCAGTTTCTATACACCTAGGTATCGATGAGCGACTCCACATATGACTTAAGTTAAGCCCTTGGTGGTTGCCCGACACTTTATCTTGTGTCCCTCACCCCGTGGACAACCCTTAAAAGCGCTTAGCCACTCTCTCTAGAGGATTTTTTTTCACACCTTGCTCAGCACTCCTCATTAGTCTTTGAAAGTACAGTAAACTAAGAAAATTTACTCTAGACATGCATAGAATAACATTGGTCTTGTCTGCAAACACAATCGATCGAAGTGAAAAAAAAAAATCCCAGCTCAACCAGCAGGAATTCAATTTGGTCTGGATATTAGTCTGATGTCCAGAAGCATGAGAAGTATTGGAAGTAAGCTTAGAAGCAAGCGAAGAGCTTTCATCATGGTGCGAAGGGGAGGAAGGGGGGACAGAGGGAAGGGGGAGGGTGGGGCGGAAGGGGGAGGAAGGAGGAGGAAGGGGGGAGGGGGGAGGAAGGGGGGGGGGCGCCGGGACAGCCAACTCCTTTTACATCACACTATGGCTCTTGCTCATGTGCTGATGAGTTGGTTCACATTGAATGTGATTCCTTGGGTTACTAAGAGACCTGCCTTAGAACGTACGCTATCGCCAAACATTTTCAATCATAAGGCTGAAACATATAATATTGGCAGTGTCTATTGGCTGAACTGATTTTACGGACGAGCTGGAAGTCACCTGAATCATAACGTCTCCTCATTCGAGAGCCTCATTCTACACTGTTTCTTGCCCCCCAGAATTCGTCCCTTTAATGCGCTTCCTTCAAGTCAGTGACGTAGCTAGGATTTCTCCAATGAGGGGGCTAAGCGGAACGGTGGGGGGGAAGGTGGGAACCAAGAGCCTAATGTGCATGTCCTACTTGACTTTCCTTTCCTCTAAAGCAGGGGTCGGGAACCTTTTTAGCATAGTGAGCCATATTAAGGTTGAGCTAAGTGCTTGTGAGCAAAAAGATTTTCAGAACAGCATAATTTTTCCTGAAGTTGACAAACAGAGGTGTGCATTCTTTGATACATGAGGAACAACCATTATTTTCAACCATGACTCAATGAGCCAAACTTTTCGGCTCGTGAGCCAAATTTGGCTCATGAGCAATAAGTTCTCGACCCCTGCCCTAAAGGAATCGAAAACGATGAGTGCCTAATTTCAAGTCTTACTTACGACTCCTTTGGGAGTCGTGGGTGCAATATTAATGGACTTGACTACTCCAGTTGAATTAATTCCAGTCCTGGGACTGTTTTTCCCTGGACACCACGCAGGGTATAGGATGTTAATACGACATACTTTTTGTAGGAATTGGTATCGACCATTCGCACATCAAGAACGAATTGACCATTGGGATCACATATACACTGATATGAATCTCAACCAAATGAGCTGACCGTCACCCAATAGGGAAACACAATAAACTAATATACCCCATACTCGGTCCATTGATCAGCGGCGATATTCAACGCGTCACGTCCTCCCACGAAGCCTGGCGAATGAACGACAGTGGTCAGCTGCCCGACCAGACTGGATAGGATTTCTAGACGGCTTACCCTGACGGCTTGAAGGCCGAGAAGAGTCTTCCTTCCCGGGTTGACGGAATGGGCCCTCATTTTGGCAGCAAGAGACGGGGATTCGTAGCTAGCGGTCAGGATGACCTACCTTCAGCATGACGCTGAGTCCCATGGAAGCTCCGGGGTAGTTCTGATAGCGGGTGTATCCGTGGGTCGAGATGCAGGGGCCCATCGAGGTCAACGGTCGAGACAAGAAGATCTCCGAGCAGCACTGGTCCGAGTCCAGCACTCTCGACTCTCCGCCCAGCTCGCACGATATCACCATGTCCCGACACCTGAATTACATGATTTTGAATTGTAAAAAAAAAGGAAACTAAAAGGCAATATCCAATTTACTCAGTTCATAGAAATATGTTTCGCAAACGAAACTGATTGTGAAAGCATCATTGCAACATGTTCGGCCTCTCCAGAGTCGGTGAAAATCTAATCTGGACCATGGTCTCTTCCAATGAAAATCGAAAACTTAATCCTCATCCGGGCAAGGTAAAAGACGCACGTAACCGGGCAAGAGGAACCATCGAACCCCCTATCAATTTACTGTATTGTATATACCAGGTGACCCCACCACCACAAAAAACACGTATTGTTCAACGCTCTGTAAAACCTGTTGTGGATGATCTAGGTAGAGCCCTCCACGGGACGATTTTCCGGTACCCGACCCGATTGGCCCGATTCAAGTCGTGGCCCGGCCCGACCTAGGTTCGTGATGCATTCGTATCACAAACAGCAACAAAATTTGTTTTCCGGAATTTTCATATACCTAGATTGTCTGGATAAAAATCGACTCTCGTTCAAAGTGGAGTGATTCCGCGTATGAGGTGGCCGGAGTTTCAGCACTGCTTGAATGATTTCTCTCACGTGACGCCATAAAGACTGCTTTTTACGCCATGTCCTTGTCTTCGACACCTCGTAGAATAGTACTACCGTTATACATCGTGGCATCAGAATCATTAATACGCATAACCTTTGCGACTCGTCTCTTCTCAAGAACCTGCTTGCGGGGAAGTCCTTTCCCATTAGCCTAAATCGGGGATTCCCTTTGCGACTCATCTCAAGAACCAGTTTGCGGAGGAGTCCGTTCCCATTAACCTCAGATGGAATCGGGGATTCCCATCTTCCCTTCCTTTTTCCCTCTTACCCTTGTTGTCGGAAGGCCCTTCAGGCAAACATCAGGTGAAAAGGCTTGGAAATAGAATGAGGAAACAATTTGCAAGTGTACATAGAACGTAGTAGGGATCCAATGGGCCCTCGCCCAGTTACGTAACTCAAAAAAAAAGAAATTCACAATTGAAAACGTTTCAAGGTCGTGATGTTCTGGTGTCCGGGTCTCCTCCACTTGAAGGAAGAATATAAAGAATTGCAGGAAAATGCAATGTTTCGACTGCTGTTCAGAAAAATTGAGACTATGGGAACCAACGGATCTCCCTTGTCCGGATAAGCATCAAGCATGTAATGGGAAACTTTTTTCTTTCTCTGCACCATACCTGAGCGAAGCTGAAAAGAGCAACTGTGGTATGGTAGTTCGATTTCTGCGAAGGATCTCATCGAGTTCCGCCTCCAGACGTTCTCTGCGAACCGAGTCGGATCGGAATTTCTGGGACAAGGAGTCGCCGCGACTCAAGGCGCCCATCGTGTAGGCGAGTACCTCTTGACTCACTTCCAAAGCTGTTGTAGAAAAATTTTAAATGATATCAGATGAGGAAAGGAAAATTCTTAACAGAATATCAGTATCACAGCGATAATTACGATGAACGAAAATGATTCAAGTTTTCAACTTTTTTTTGCCGAAAAGTTATAATTGAAACGCGATGTTTGAGTTCCTCCCCGAAACAATATGGATGTCAAGAAATTCTACATCTTAAAATCAATGTTTTTATAGTTAGACTTGCAGCAATTGCTGTTTTAATCCGTAGGTGGAAGCTCTTAAATGCTCTGACCGAAAATTTACTGCTCGAAGAATTTATCCTCAGAAAGGCTAAAAACTGCAAAAATTGAAGGACGGAGATTGAACACCTTCACGCGTTTTCCATCACAAACTGCCTTCATACTGTTTTAAACTATAAATATAAACTACTGTTTTAATCATAGAATAAAATATGGTACCAAGGTCGGCATCTTCTCGCAGGGGATTGGTCGGGCAAATAGTGAGATCCGGCAAGACCTTGCGCTTCAACAGAGCTATATCCATATCTATCGACACGGAGTGCTTCCCGTTCACCAGATCCATGATGGGCTTGTAGCAGCCATAGAAGCACCAGGTGATGAGGCTGACCTCCACCACCATCCAGAGGAGCCATCTGGCGACGCCCAGGGATTCCCTGTTCCTCAAGAAGTACAGGCCGTGCATGTCGTGCCAGTCGCAGAATCTCTCCAATACTTCGTCCCAGACGCTCGGACGCTTCGTTTTCGGTTGGTATATCCTTAAATGGAAAAGCAATTTCAAATAACTTTTTCGTTGATGACGACCGACACCTACCACTTGCTGAAAAACAACTGCACCAACCTGCGAAGGCTTTGTAAGGTATTTCTAAGAAACGTTAGTAAGTTGACGTGAATGAGGTAGGTTTTTAGCCGTTAATTACACAAGACGGTAGTGCAGTAGCTTAAGTTCCAGGGAACTTTTCTAAGCGAAGGCCTTGGAGATGATGAGTAGGTGCGATAGCAACATGCGTGGCAACAGAAGGCAGTCCAATTAATAGACTCAGGCTGCTCTTGAGCTTGGGGTCGGCCGTTGTAAGAATTACTAATGCCATCGGATGGAATTTTTCCCCAAGAGACCATTTCTTATTCTATTATGTAAACCTACCCAGAGAATGTCAGACAATGGAGTAAATACGAATAGCGATTTAAAAACGGAAATTTAATGAAGAATATGCAGTGAGCCTGTCAAGTAGTGTTGATTCTGTACCTGTCCAAGAGACACCCAGTGGAGAATCGCATTCATTCCACGTTCGTACCATCAAACTGCCTGTTTCCGAGTGTTTCGCGAGTTATCCCAGTCAATTCCACGCATTTTGCATGTATTTACCTGGACGCTAGGAAAGCTTGAAAAGGCCATTGTCTAAACTCACTTATGAAACGCAGGAAAAGAAACCTTCTTTCTTCGCCAGGGAAATGACATGTCGAACACCCGATCAACCGGACCCATGAAAATAATAAAAAGAACTTAGACCTCAAGTAGCAGCACTAACTCCCAACCGCTTCGTTGCAGACTGAAAAGACTTCCCAGAGACCCTCCTCCGTCTATCCCCCCCCCCTACACCCCAGTGAGGTAACGCAGGGGGGGGGGGGGGGGGGGGGGGGGGGGGGGGGG